ATCCAAGGAAGGTTGGGGTGGATCCAGGAGAAGTTCAGGATGGATCTGGAGAGGTTCAGGATGGATCCGGAGGGGTCTGGGATGGATCCAGAAGGTCCTGATGGATCTGGAGAGGTTCAGGATGGATCTGGAGAGGTTCAGGATGGATCCGGAGGGGTCTGGGATGGATCCAGAAGGTCCTGATGGATCTGGAGAGGTTCAGGATGGATCTGGAGGGGTTCAGGATGGATCTGGAGAGGTTCAGGATGGATCTGCAGGGATTTGGGATGGATCCCGATGGTCCTGATGGATCTGGAGAGGTTTGGGATGGATCCAGGGAAGGCTGGGATGGATCTGGAGGGGTCTGGGATGGATCCAGGGAAGATTGGGGTGGATCCAGAGGGTTCTGATGGATCTGGAGAGGTTCAGGATGGATCTGGAGAGGTTCAGGATGGATCCGGAGGGGTCTGGGATGGATCCAGGAGGTCCTGATGGATCTGGAGAGGTTCAGGATGGATCCAGGGAAGGTTAGGATTGATCCCCATGGTCCTGATGGATCTGGAGAGGTTCAGGATGGGTCTGGAGAGGTCTGGGATGGATCCAAGGAAGGTTGGGGTGGATCCAGGGGAAGTTGGGGTGGATACAGGGGAAGTTCAGGATGGATCCAGTGGGTCCTGATGGATCCGGGGAAGTTCAGGATGGATCCAGGAAGAGCCAGGATGAATCCAGGGAGATTCAGGATGGATCTGGAGAGGTCTGGGATGGACCCAGGGAAGTTTGGGATGGATCCAGGGAAGTTTGGGATGGATCTGGAGAGGCTCAGGATGGATCCAAGGCAGCTCCAGACGGATCCAGAAGTTTGGGATGGATCCCGAGGAGTTCCCTCCCAGCTTAAACCCCTCCCTGCTCCAGCCAATTATCCCGGCTGGCACTAATTATTCCCACCCTCAGAACCCTGGGAATCCCAGGATTCCGGGAATCCCTTGGAATTCAGGGCTGGAATGATGTTTTGGGATCAATTGGGGATTATTCAGGAGCGGTGCACTGAAGCTGAACCCGCTCAGGAATAAAACTGCCACATTCCCGGCTGATTCCAGGGGTGGGAATTCCCAAATTCCCAAATTCCAGCCCCGAACAGCCCCTGGAAGAGCCGGTTTTCCATGGGATTCCTTTTCCTTCGGGATATTTTATCGGGAGCTTCCTCCTCTTCCTCCTCCCCAGCCTCTGGAGCTCCTCTTCTTCCTGGAAAATCCAATTTATTTGGGCTGGGCATGGATTTTTGGGAATTCCTGCTGGATTTAGGAGGCAAAAAAAAGAGGAAAATTCAGGATTGATCCAAATTTTTGTGGGTTTTATTTTTTTCCCATTTAATTGGGAATTGTTCCTATCCCTGGGATCCCACTCCTGGCAGAATTCCCACCAGGAATTGAGAGGGAAAAGTTCATCTGGAGTTTCCCTCACGTCCGTTTCCCCCTGGAAAATTTGCCCCAAAATTGGGATTTGGGATTTTTCTCCCCACCCAGGCCAGGATTTTCCGGGATAATTGGGAATTCTGATAGTTTTGGCCTGAATTTAGTGGGAAAAATTCCAAAATATCCGCAGGGATCCCATGGGGGCCGAGCCCTGGGAAGCTCCAGGAACTCGTTTTTCCCGTTTATCCCGAAATTATTTGAATGCTCTCGGAATTCTCTTCCCAGGGAAAACCTCCGGAGTGGAGTGTGGGGGGGATTTTCCGAGGGATCCTTGTTTTTCTCTGGGAGATTTTCCTGCTCCCTTCTGAGGAAAATCCATGAATTTTTGGGATTTCTGTCTCTCATCCCTGCGGATTCCGGGAGCCATGAGAATCTCGGGATCTCTGCATGCTTGGAAGTGAATTTAACAAGTTTTCTGGATTTTTTTGGGATATTTAATCCCAAAATTCCCCTTTCCCAGGGGTCAGCACTTCCATAAAACCTCAATTTTCCTGGATTTCTTTGGATTTTCAGGGAGCACAACACCAAATTCCTGCTTTTTTTCTGACTTGTATGGGAAGAAAACAATCCAGGATCATTCCAGGGAAAGAATCCAAGGATTTTTCCCTATTTTTGTTCAATTCAACACCCAGATTTGGAGGAAAGGAGACATTTGAAGGAAAACTCCCTTTAAAAAGCGGGATCACAGCTCCAGGTGCTTCCCATTCCCATTTTCCCCCCTGGAGCCGGGGCCAGGTTGTTTTTTTCCAGGGATTTATTGGGAATTTCCTGCTGGGAGAGGAGCCCGGCCCGGCCGTGCTGGGATTTGGGGATGGGTGGGGGATTCCTGCCGTGATCCCGATGTTTCCCTTTGTTTTAGAGACCGTATCCAGGGAAGGGCCAGGGCTGGGAGCGGGAACAGGGATGGATCCCCATGGAGAATCCCAGGGATTGGGATTCTTACGGAAAAACTCCTGGGATTGGGGTCGGGATTCTGCTGGAAAATCCCCGGGATTGGGGTCAGGATCCCAGTGGAAAACCCCTAGGTTGGGGTTTGGATCCTAATGTAAAACCCCCGGGATTGGGGTCGGGATCCCACTGGAAAACCCCTGGGATTGGGGTCGGGATCCCAATGGAAAACCCCCGGGATTGGGGTTTGGATCTTGCTGGATCCCACTGGAAAACTCCTGGGATTGGGGTCAGGATCCCACTGGAAAACCCCTGGGATTTGGGTCGGGATCCCAATGGAAAACCCCTGGGTTGGGGTTTGGATCCTAATGTAAAACCCCCGGGATTTGGGTCAGGATCTCAATGGAAAATCCTTGGGATTGGGGTCAGGATCTTGCTGGAAAACCCCTGGGATTGGGGTCGGGATCCCAATGGAAAACCCCCGGGATTGGGGTCAGGATCCCAATGGAAAACTCCTGGGATTGGGGTTTGGATCTTGCTGGATCCCACTGGAAAACCCCTGGGATTGGGGTCGGGATCCCAATGGAAAACCCCCGGGATTGGGGTCGGGATCCCAATGGAAAACCCCCGGGATTGGGGTCAGGATCCCATCCAGCAGCCCCTGATCCCGTGAATTCCCGAGGGCTGGGATTTTCGGGATGCATCCCTGAGGCGTGGGACACCGAGATCCCTCTGGATCCCTCTGGATCCCCATTTCTGGCCGGAAGCCGGTGAATTCCCGGGAAATCCCATCGGGAGGGGGCTGAGCAGAGCAGGGATCCCGGAATGGCTCCGGCTGCGATTCCCGGCGGGTCCCAATCCCGGCTCTGAGGGAATTCCTGCCCCATTCCAGGTGGTTTTGAGGGATTTGTATTCCCAGGGGTTGTTTTGGTGGGATGGAGGATTTGGGGCCGATCCAACGGTGCCGCTCTGGCCCCAATCCCGAATTTTTGGGGCAGGAAAGGAGCAGATTTCAGGCTTGGGATTGTGTTGGGGGAATGGAGAGTGGGAATTTTTCCCGTATCCTTAGGGAAAGGATTTGTGGGATGGATTTGGGGTGATCCATCCCATCCCTAATTCCTGGTTTTTGGTGTGGGTTGTCCAGGAGAGGAGCAGAGTCCCCACTGGAGTTGTGTTGTTGGGATGCCAAGTGGGATTTTTATCCCAAATCCACAGGGAAGGGATTTTGGGATGGATTTGGGGGTGATGGATCCATTGGTGTGATGGATCCAATCCCGGATTTTCACTTCTGACGCTGCACGAGCTCATCCAACCCCAGCTGTGCCAGATCCCCCTGACCCCAAATCCCATATCCCAGCATCCCCAAATCCCTGACCCCAAATCCCATATCCCATATTCCAGCGTCCCCAAATCCCATATCCCATATCCCTGGATTCCCCAATCCCATATCCCAGCATTCCCCAACCCCTGATCCCATATTCTCCATTCCCCAATCCCATATCCTATATCCTCCAATCCCATATCCCATATTCTCCATTCCCCAGTCCCATATCCCTGCATTCCCTAATCCGATATCCCACCAATCACAAATCCCATATCCCCCCATTCCCCAAATCCCATATCTTCCATTTCTCAATCCTATATCCCATATTCTCCATTCCCCAATCCCTGACCCCATATCCCTGCATTCCCCAGTCCCAAATCCCATATCCTCCATTCCCCAATCCCATATCCCCCATTTCTCAATCCCATATCCCATATTCTCCATTCCCCAATCCCTGACCCCATATCCCTCCATTCCCCATTCCCCAATCCCATATCCCCCATTCCCCAATCCCATATCCCTCCATTCCCCATTCCCCAATCCCATATCCCCCATTCCCCAATCCCATATCCCTCCATTCCCCATTCCCCAATCCCATATCCCTCCATTCCCCAATCCCATATCCCTCCATTCCCCGATCCCATATCCCTCCATTCCCCAATCCCACATCCCTCCATTCCTCAATCCCATATCCCCCCAATCCCCAATCCCATATCCCTGCATTCCCCAAACTCTGACCCCATATCCCTCCATTCCCCGATCCCATATCCCTGTATTCCCCAACCCCATATCCCGCACCCCTGACCCCGTGTCGCACCCCCAGGCTCCCATGGCGGGCCGCAAGCGCGGCGCGGCGAGCGGCGCCGGCGCGGTGCCGTGGCCGGAGGAGCCGGGCGAGCGCGAGCAGGGCCTGTACTCGCTGCACCGCATGTTCGACATCGTGGGCGCGCAGCTGACGCACCGCGACGTGCGCGTGCTCTCCTTCCTCTTCGTGGACGTGCTGGACGAGGCCGAGCGCGGCCGCATCCGCTCGGGCCGCGACTTCCTGCTGGCGCTGGAGCGGCAGGGCCGCTGCGACGAGAGCAACCTGCGGCAGCTGCTGCAGCTGCTGCGCATCATCACCCGCCACGACCTGCTGCCCTACGTCAGCCTCAAGCGGCGGCGCCCCGGTGAGTGCCTGTCGCGATATATCGCGATATACGGGGTGGTATTGGGGTGTTGGGGTGACATCATCACCCGCCACGACCTGCTGCCCTACGTCAGCCTCAAGCGGCGGCGCCCCGGTGAGTGCCTGTCGCGATATATCGCGATATACGGGGTGGTATTGGGGTGACATCATCACCCGCCATGATACCGTTCTGTGAGTGACCCCTGGAGGGGCCTGGGCTGGTGAGTGACCCCTGAGCGGGGCAGGAGCCTCAGACAGGGATCGGGATTGGGATGGGATCAGGGTTGGATCGGGGTTGGGATCGGGATGGGATCAGGATGGGATCAGGGTTGCATTGCTTTGGAATGGGATTGGGGTTGGATCAGGGTAGGGATCAGGGTTGGATCGAGGTTGGGATCAGGGTTGGGATCAGGGTTGGGATCGGGATGGGATCAGGGTTGGGATCGGGATGGGATCAGGGTTGGGATCGGGATGGGATCAGGGTTGGGATCGGGATGGGATCAGGACTGGGATCGGGATGGGATCAGGGTTGCATTGCTTTGGGATGGGATTGGGGTTGGATCAGGATGGGATCAGGGCTGGGATCGGGATGGGATCGGGATGGGATCAGGACTGGGATCGGGATGGGATCGGGATGGGATCAGGACTGGGATCGGGATGGGATCGGGATGGGATCAGGACTGGGATCGGGATGGGATCGGGATGGGATCAGGACTGGGATCGGGATGGGATCGGGATGGGATCAGGGTTGCATTGCTTTGGGATGGGATTGGGGTTGGATCAGGATGGGATCAGGGTTGGGATTGGGGTTGGGATTTGGGTTGGGATTGGGATGGGGTTTAGGGGTGGGGCTGTGGTGACACCCTGAGTGCAGCTGCCAAGACAATCCTGGGATGATCCCTGGGTTTGGAGGCCCCATGGAATTTTCCCGGCGCCATTCTTGGCACCATCCTGTTCCCGTTCCCATCCCGTCCCCGTTCCCATCCCGGTGCTGTTCCCGTTCCCAGTGTGCCCGGACCTGGTGGACAAGTACCTGGAGGAGACGTCCATCCGCTACGTCACGCCCCGCGCGCCCGGGGGGGCCCCGCCCGGCCTCGGCCACCCCCACAAATCAGGTACGGCCTGCCTGGGTCCTGTGGGATCGTTATCCGTCCTGTGGGATCGTTATCTGTCCTGTGGGATCGTTATCCGTCCTGTGGGATCGTTATCCATCCTTTGGGATCGTTATCCGTCCTGTGGGATCGTTATCCGTCCTGTGGGATCGTTATCCGTCCTTTGGGATCGTTATCCGTCCTTTGGGATCGTTATCCGTCCTGTGGGATCGTTATCTGTCCTTTGGGATCGTTATCCGTCCTTTGGGATCGTTATCCGTCCTTCGGGATCGTTATCCGTCCTGTGGGATCGTTATCTGTCCTTTGGGATCGTTATCCATCCTGTGGGATCGTTATCTGTCCTTTGGGATCGTTATCCGTCCTTCGGGATCGTTATCTGTCCTTTGGGATCGTTATCCGTCCTTTGGGATCATCATCACTCCCTTGGGATTGTCATCCCCCTTTTGGGATCATTGTCACCCCTTTGGGATCGTTATCCATTCTTTGGGATCGTTATCCGTCCTGTGGGATCGTTATCCGTCCTGTGGGATCGTTATCCCCCTTTTGGGATCGTTATCCGTCCTGTGGGATCGTTATCCGTCCTTTGGGATCGTTATCCGTCCTTTGGGATCGTTATCCGTCCTGTGGGATCGTTATCCGTCCTGTGGGATCGTTATCCGTCCTTCGGGATCGTTATCTGTCCTTTGGGATCGTTATCCGTCCTTTGGGATCATCATCACTCCCTTGGGATTGTCATCCCCCTTTTGGGATCATTGTCACCCCTTTGGGATCGTTATCCGTCCTGTGGGATCATTATCCCCCTTTTGGGATCGTTATCCGTCCTGTGGGATCATTATCCCCCTTTTGGGATCGTTATCCGTCCTGTGGGATCATTATCCCCCTTTTGGGATTGTTATCCGTCCTGTGGGATCGTTATCCCCCTTTTGGGATCGTTATCCGTCCTGTGGGATCATTATCCCCCCTTTGGGATCACTGTCACTCCTTTGGGATCATCCCAAAGTTCCCCACCTCGGAGCCTCTCGGGGCTCTGGGTTTAGGATCCGTGCCCAGCTCAGTGGGGGGGTTTCAAGGATTTGGGGCAGGAATTGGGGTCACCTTAATGAGGAGGGGAATTTGGGGGTCCCTGGGTTGGGAATTGGGGGTCACCCAGGGACCCCCCCCTCAGGGCATCCCAAAATTCCCACTCCAGAACCCTTGGGGGGCTCTGCCCGGATCTGTGGGGGAATTTATGGGGTCGGGGGGGAACTGGGCTCACCCTTAGTGGGGGATTGGGGTCCCCCTCAATGGATGGGGGAGATTTGGGGTCCCTGACCCCACTGGTGCCCCGTTCCCCAGTGCCTGTCCCCCACCCATCCCTGTGCTGCCCCCCGGGGTGGGATTTGGGGTCTCTGGGGTGGGATTTGGGATGGATTTGGGGTCCCTGGGGTTGGGTTTGGGGTCCCTGGGGTGGGATTTGGGGTCCCTGACCCCACTGGTGCCCCATTCCCCAGTGCCTGCCCCCCACCCGTCCCTGTGCTGCCCCCCGGGGTGGGATTTGGGGTCTCTGGGGTGGGATTTGGGGTCTCTGGGATGGGATTTGGGATGGATTTGGGGTCTCTGGGGTGGGATTTGGGGTCCCTGACCCCACTGGTGCCCCGTTCCCCAGTGCCTGTCCCCCACCCATCCCTGTGCTGCCCCCCGGGGTGGGATTTGGGGTCTCTGGGGTGGGATTTGGGATGGATTTGGGGTCTCTGGGGTGGGATTTGGGGTCCCTGGCCCCACTGGTGCCCCGTTCCCCAGTGCCTGTCCCCCACCCATCCCTGTGCTGCCCCCCGGGGT